TTTCCTCCAGGAAACTGGAAATGGAATGGCCCTCCCTGAATTTTATACAAAACACCTGACCGTGTTGCTGTTCTCTCTCAATAGGCTGCTCTTCTTTCTTGCAGCTTGGAAGGTGATCAAAATATCTAATCTCACATCTGAGACCTGGAAAACAGACTTCAAACTGCCCACCACACATTTCTTCCTAGGGGCCTGGAGACTTTCGTACACTTTATCTCAAGCCAAGTTCCAAAATGGAATTGTCCTAGATTCACTTCTGTCACTGATAAAAATGCCCTGACAAATAGCAACATGGATGTGGGTTTATTTGGCTTACAATTTCAGGTTGCAGTCCATCATTGCAGCAAAGTCAAGGCAGGGACCCAAGCCATTAGTAACATGCTATCTACAGTCAAGAGCAGAGAGAAAATAAGTTTGTCTCTTCCTTCTTTCTTTCCTTCTCCCTCCCTCCCTCCCTCCCTCCCTCCCTCCCTCCCTCCCTCCCTCCCTCCCTGTTAGCTTTCTCTTACACTGTTCAGGAACTCCTGCCTAGGGAACAGTGATGCCCATTTGTTCAAAAGATAAGATTGAGAAAGGTCCTCTGACATACACACATGCATCTGCATGCACATATGCACACACCTGCAGGGACACACACACACACACACACACACACACACACACACACACACACACCTTCTCTCCTATCCCTAAACAAATAGGCAGTTTGGAGCTGTAGGAGCATTTTGTGCTGGTGTCAGCAATGCAGTTTGTTAACCAGCAGTGAGACTGCTAAATAATTAGAACATCCCAATTTTCTGGAGAAAAATACCATGAATTAAAAAATTTCAAGTCATACTGTGCTTTTCCTTAAGGTAGATACATGTTATATTGCTATTAAATGTCATCCCTAAACTGATGTAATGATGGGACAGGATGTCCTCTTTGTCACTTGCCAGCCATATGTGGTATACCATCCCTCTTCCTTCTACGCTCATCAGCAGCTTGCCCACCTAAACCATCTATGCATTGTCTCTCTCTGTCACAGTTTTGGGAAGAGCCCGGCAGTACCTTGTCAATCACCTTGGAAACCATGGACCAAGATGCCAGGCAGACAGCTTGCAGGTGAGCCTTTTCAGGAGTGCATTCCTATTCTGCATCTGTGTGGAGAAGGGTGTGGTTTGCATCTCACTGCTGTCAGAAGGAAGGTGGGAATGTATTCATGTTACAAGTCACGGCGCTGCCAGCAAGAGCTACCACCACAACAAAGGAAACTCATTCTCTCTTCCTGCTCAGAGAGTGATTTGTTTATTCATAGAGAGACAGGCATGCTAGGTATAATATAAAAAGTGAAAGCCTGCAAAATGATTTGAAAGTAGTGTTTGGAGTCTTTATATAAAGTTTAGTTCTTGATAGCACAGCAAAATGATGAAAAATCATGAAAGCACAGAATACCCTTTAGAGGTAATAGACTGGTCAGGATGGATGGGTGGAAACCCAGAGGGCTGGGAAGGGGAAACGTACTGCAGGGTGGGTGAAGTCAAGAACTAAGGTTCTAACCCAGGCACCATTCTACCATGATTGGGGGATGGTCAAACCATCCCCAAGGACTCCTGTGTTGGAAGCTTGCTCTCCAGGATGGCAGCATTGAGGTGGTGGAACCTCTCAGACATGAGACCCAGTGGGAGGGAATAAGGTCACAGGAGTTTCTAGCATCTGCTCTCGGAAGGAATCAATGCTGGTCCTGAGTGTCCTCAAAACCAAGTTGTTACAAACACATCTGGGTCTCTCTGACTTCTGGTCTCATCACGTGGTCTGTCCCTCTTGTACATACCCTTAACGTGATATGTCTGCCGTGTTATGATGCAGCCTCATTGAAAGCTAAGCTTTGGTTGCCCTGCCTTGGACTTTCAGTCTCCAGAACTGTGAGCCAAAGAAACCTCTTTTCACAAAGTTTCCAAACTCTGGTGCATATTGACAGTGATAACAACGAAAATATAATACACCATCAGTGTGTGCTTTCTTGGGAGGGTTAGGATATAGTCACCTTGGGTCTTATCATCCCCACCCTGTGTGTGTGTGTGTGTGTGTGTGTGTGCACGCACATGCATGTGCACTTGTGCACATGTGCTGGCACACAAATATGTTTGCTTGTTTGTGAGAATGCATGTGTGCATTGCTTGTATGTGTGCACACATGCATGATTGTGTGGTGTGAAGGTCCAATGTAGAGTTGGGTAATTTTTTCAGTTGCTCTCTGTCTTAAATATTGCATCAAGGTCTGTCTTTTGAACATAGAGCTCACCAGTTTGCTCTGGGCAACCTCTATCCCCATCTCCCTAGAGATGGGGTTACATGAGTCCCACCTTGCCTGCCATCACTTGTGTGAGTGCTTAGGATCTTAACTCTAGACTTCAAACTTACATGGTAAGCACTGAGTGAGTCATCTCCCTAGTCCTAGAGAATTATAACTCTCAGGAGAATGAAGAAGAATAGAGGCAGGGGGAATTCTCTACATAACTTATTTTCTCTATAAATTATCATGTAGTGTCTAGCCCAGCCTGTAGCACTGCCTTCAAGTCTGAGAGAAGGTCCAACATTGTCCTCGTGGCCAGAAAATCTGGGGGATCTGTCCAAGAGTGGCCAGCACACTGTCCAATGTCCAGTGGAAACTTGTTTGTCCCATGCAGAAATCACTAAAATGTCTTCATGGAGTGATAACCATCCTTCTGGATGCCTCCAAGGGGGAAGGGCTACCTTCAGCACCAAACAGTAAGCTGAGGCTAGGCTAGGAAAACAGGGATGCCTTGTGTCCATGGCAGTCCTGCAAGCTGTAGCTGTCTGGTTACTGCTTGATTTTTGGCATCAGAATCCTACAAGCAGCTCCCAGCTCCACAAGCTGGCTGGAGAGTCTTAGTAGGCATTTGCCTTGCCAGAATGTTCTTCCCTCCTCTGGCAGGGGGGGGTGCTGTGACAGGGACATAGCTTGTAAGATGTTGGTGGTATTGTAAAAGTATTCTCTCAGCACTTGTTTGAAAGTGCCTGAGGCACATATGTGTTCAAAGTGCCACGAAGTAAGTTGGCCAAATTGGCTGTGGGCATGATCTTTCTAGTCTCCATTCACTGGTCCTTGCTTCTCCTTCTCTCCAAGTGATTGTCTCTGCTGTGCTTGGCCAAGAGATGGCACCGTATCAGCCTGGCTAATCAGAACATCCCCAAGAGTGTAGCTGATACCTTGGCTGCTGCTTAGATACAGATCAGGGGTCACGTGACCCTGCACAGGGCGCTCTTGCTTCCTGAAATAGTTTGTATCCTCTCTTGATAGAGTCTTCCTAAGAATGAATCCAATGGGGGAAGATATCCAAACAGGAGTACAGGCTTCTAAACAGCTGGCAACAGGAACAGCCAATCTTGCTTATCATTACTCATTATATAGAAGAGCATCGATAGAGATTATTGGTCCTACCCTCTGGAGATTCTCATTCAGTAGACCTGGGTGTGGTCTGGACTTCTTGCCACTTGGAGGAAAGAAGGTTTGGTACTGCCAGGATGAAATCACAGTAAAACACATCGTTTAGAGTCCATTTATGAAGTCTTGGTAGGGCTATCACACAGTGTGACTTAGTAAAAACCCCAGGCTAGCTCTTTCTGATAACGACCTTCAATGTGATGAAGGCCAGGATCCTACGTTAGCATTTGAGTACTGATAAGCCATTTTCATCTGCCCTTTAGGTTCACTCTATGCCTGACAGTAGTCAGTTCCTTCCTGTTTCAGCTAGCCTGCACCGATACCTGTTCCTGTGTGTCCCTTGCCCAGCCTGGAAGAGCCTGGCCAACCCTGACTGAACCCCCCCCCCCCCCACACACACAGCGTCTTTGTTCCTGTCTCCACCCACTGGGGTCTTCCCCCAGCCCCAGGCTAAGCTTCTCATCTCTGCATAACATCTTTGTTTAGCCATGCTTTTCCCACGTGTGCTGCTTCGTGTTGGTTCCACAGAATCCAGAACCACTTGGGAGACAGGCTTCTGGCCATGGCCGTGGGGGGGATTACCTTCATTAGGCTAACCAAAGTAGGAAGACCTGTCTACTATCGGTGGTACTCATCCCCAGGGATGCTATCCTAGACTATATGAAATGAAGGAAGTCAGCTGAGTATGCATGCTGTTCCCAATAATGGCTGCCGTGTGACCAGATCCCTCACGCTCCTGATGTGATGACTTCTACACTCTGATGGGCTCTAACCTTGAACTGTGAGCCCAAATCAGCCCCTTATGCCCTAATTTCCTTTTGTTAGGTGTCGTATCGCAGTACAGGAAAGAAGATGAGAGGCCATGGTTGAGGGAGAAATTATGCTGAGGATCAGAGGGAGGTGTGTGTGTATGTGTGTGTGTGTGTGTGTGAGAGAGAGAGAGAGAGAGAGAGAGAGAGAGAGAGAGAGGTTGTCTCTGACCCCAGCATGGTTTTAACAAAACAGACAACAAGTCATTGTTAAGGTCAGTCTCTTAGACAAAGAGCTAGACTCTGGGTCCAGGGCCATATCACTTGTTACCACTTAATCTGGACTCAAACCTACATCCAGTGCCTTCTGATCCCCAAAGTCTCAAAGTCCTTCAACTCATGACTGCAGTTTATAGGTCCACTGGCCACCAGGCAACTCAGGCTTTTGGAAAGAGTTGCTAGGGCTGGGGGTGTGCAGGATGAAGCCAGTTCCCTTTCGTGGTCCTGTGTCAGCAGGGCTGACCCTCTGCAGCTGGACCTGGACTCTGGCATCTGACTGCAGTGTTCTCCTGCTCACTGAGCTCTGGAGCCTTTCAATCAAACCCTGGGGGGCGGGGCTTCAGCAAGCTGCCAGGAGGAAACGAGTGGGGGTTGCCACACTGCCACATTGTCCCTCTGCACGGTTAATCTGGTAGGAGTCCTCAAATGAAAGGCGGGTCCTTTGGGTGATGTTCCAGAAGGCTCTGTTTCGAGTACCCTGGATTTGGAGGGCAAAAAAAAACAGTGATTATTTTTGCCCTCATTACCTTCTCCCCTGTTTAGCAGGTAGTCATTGTCAGGAGAACATTACATTCCACATTACTCTGCCCCACCTTGGCCTCACATAATAGACTCTAAAAACAGGGCTTTGCCTGTGAGTTTTCCAAGTTCTCAAGTATATATATGAATGAGAATGATTGCAGGTTCATTCTAGCTTGTCTGATGACGTCCAGTTTTGCCTTTCCTTTCCCTAAAATAGCCTTCCACATTGTCTGAATGACCGACCTCTCTCTTTCCTCATGAGCACATGGGATCTGTGCTGCTCAGAGCTGTCCTGCTCAGCCACCAAGCCCTACTTCCTGGGTTTTCTATTTCAACTCACGATCCAGAGGAATAGAGCAGATCTAGAAGCTTCTTGGAAAATGTTTCACTTGCCTACAGATGGGACATCACCATGCCCACCCTGCCCACTTTGGGCATTAACCTAACTCCAAAGCTATCAGGAGTGGGGTCTGCGTGTCACAGCCCTGAGATGGGGATTCACTGGGAGGGAGATCACAGAGTGACTTCACAGAAGGAATGTGCCAGAAAGTCGTATTGACTCAATGTGAGCCCTGGAAATGGCATCCCTCTGCTGGATGGTGGGAAGTTCTCATGGGCAGACATATTGCTGCCTTGGCATGATAGCGTATCCTAACACCCTAAATAGCACAGCTTCTTTTAAAAAATCCCTCTGGTGTCTGCCCACAGCACCCACACCCAGGAAATGGTGGGTGGGGTCTGTTTGCACCCACTGCGGTGAGATAGAACAAGTTCACTCAGTCAGGAGAAGAATATATACACAGGAAACGATTGCAAAACACAGAAGGCCAGCGCTCCCATGGAATCCTTCCATTCTCTCTGGCTTTCCCTTCTGTGGCTGGGGCCCTGCTGGGATTATACATATGCTGCTGCCCAGGCCCACATGGTGAAGCATTCCCAGCCTCCACTAAAACGAAGCCCCCTTCATCTCCTCTTTAACTCTGCTCCCTCACCTGGCATCTGAGGGCCAACATGTCCTAGACCCACGGTGGGCTCACTGCAGGACCAAGAACTCTTCTCACTCAGGCCTGGACTTTTCCTCCCTTCAGTGCTGCTCGCATCCTCAGC